CCCGCCTCGCCCACTCACACCCCCGCCCCGCTCGACATGGCCAACGGCGAATTAATTCTTTCTGCTCAATACACTTTTATAATTCAATTTGTAGTTGCATGCAATCCGTGTTACGTAATCTCGCTTCAACAATTAGTTGCGGAAAAAGTTATTATGCCAACAAAATAACTATTTTATTGTAGCGAGGTGTTGCTCAGGATATATAAATGTACATCGAATTAACATATCATGATATATTAAAAGCTAAGTTAATCTCACATTTCGCACCAGTTGGTTTAAAATTAAATATTTATGTAAATGTGAAGAGGCGGTGTCATCTAGTGATGTCATTGTCTTGTGCATTCTCTACTACATTTTCATCGCATCCAATCAGAAAACTACTACTTCTTATAATTGTTCCAAATTCAAATTTATAATTTATGCTTCATGCCTACGAAAGGTGTACGTGGCTCGTTTGTTAGCTTATAAAGCACAAAAACAAAAGATGTGTTATAATCAAGCTGCATCAGTGTTAGTTGTTATCATTTGTCAATGATATGTAACAACAAGACATTACAAATAATGTCAGTATCATTGTAATATATTAATGGGTTAACAGAAGTGTAGAGTAGTGGCGCGGTGGCGGCGGCGGCGGCGGCGGCTGGCGGGCTGGTGGCATTCCTCTCGGATGTTACAAACGTAGCATTAGGCTTAGCTGTAATGCGGGCGCGGCGCGAGGGCGGCCGACAAATTGTTTCACAAGCATTACAAATACGACCCTTAAACTAATGCGACCAGCTAACACTGGCCTCTGCACCGTACCAACCGATGCGCGCTCGGACTCGGTTCGGGGCTCAGGGACGACTGGCGATTGTCACATACAAGTAATAAATTGTCGGGTGTGAGCAATTCTCTCGCACGGGCGTCACGCATCATTAACGGGCGCGAATGTGCTGCCAAATTAACAATTACACGGGACCTTTGTGCCTCTATGTTAATTAGGAAATTCGGAGCCCTCCGCCTCCCCCGCAACCCCGCGCCCCGCACGCATACCTTCGTATGTGAGCTACGTTATTGTGTTCAGCTCCCATTCTCACTGCTTTTACTTAGTTGCTTGCGTATGTTATCTTTTATTGAACCATCACATCTTTACCTTTATTAAGTTCACTGCTGGATGTACACTTGTACACTTCCTCGGAAAATTTCTATCATAAATGCCAATATTCCTTACAATTCTCTACTAAATTTTACAAAGTTGCAAAAATCACCTTGCTGATTTCAAGAAGCTGCATCTATTCAAATTCTTCTGGTTATGTCCGATGTTACTACTGTTCTAACATCAGGTGGAATCCTCGTTACTTCCTTTCTTTCTTTAATAAATAATTTAATTTGATTTCATAATCACCCACATTCTTAAGTAGGATTTAGAAACACTCGCAGAGGATCAATTGTGCTCAGCCCTTCACCGGGAACTGGTGAGAGGTTTAGCAGCAATCTTGTCCGGGGGCTAATGCGGTGTCCGCAATTAGTCTGTCACCAAGGCAGGGGCTGCAATCAATATCGTAGCGCCGTCGCCGGGACACAACCCCTAATCGGGGATTAGTCGACAACAATGGCTTTAGTTGCTATGAATTTGTTATCAATGTTGACTATACTTTATATTATCAACAAGCTCTTAACCTGTGAGACAACTTCACCGCTTTATGGAATAAGAAAGTGGTGATAAGAAAGATCAGGAAATATAGACGTAAGGTTATAGTCCGTTATTTATTTTTTATATCATAAGGTGGCAAACGAGCGAGCGGCCACCTGAAATCGCTAAAATAGCGAAGTGACCGTTACCCATAGACACACGCAATTGCATATGCGTTGCCTACCTTTAATCAACGGAGGAGAGGATGCACAGAAAGAAAATATTTTCCCTTCCCATGCATCCTCTCATCCGGAAAGTCCACTTCCACTTCCTATCCTTTCCATATAAGAAAAAGGATGGGAAGGGAAGGGGGACTAAATAAGGCCTCCGGGACGCACACTCATCAGACGAAACGCGGAATTGCTTCCACTTCACGCCTGTCTTCTGTGTGGTCGTGGTATTTCACCGGGCGAGCCGGGCCGATCCGTGCGAAGATGTTAAAGCGGGCTCTACCACTGTTGCATTTCCTACATCTGTCTGTGTTAAATCCAACTATGGGAGCAATGCCTTGTAAATATAGAATATATTGCTGATGTCCATGGGCGTCGTTGAACACCTCGGTGTTCCCGCTGCTCGTTTGCCCCCTTCTGTTATAAAAAAAATATAGATGGACACGAATAATCCGAGCAGGTATTACTGGTAAAGTAGACAATTCTGCAAAAAATGTTTTCGACCAAATTCTCCTTTCGAATATACTTAATCACAAAAGCCATTTCCGAAGTAAATATTTACAAAAGAAAAAAAAATAGTGATGTCCTCTAGTATAAAAATGATAAATGTTTGAAAATGAGTCAAATGTTACATAAGATGGTACGCACACGAGCGGGGTAGTAGCTAGCTCGGTATGTAGGTAGGTAGGTAGCGGTGGTGCGGCGGGTAGGCGCGTAGTCATGCGGCCGGAGAAGGAATATAATACGCGCGGGTATTAATTTGCGAGAGCGCGAGGATCGAGTTTAATTAACAAATTTAATTAGAAATTAACTGTTTCGCAGACATGGGGCGGCAGGGGGCGGAGTGAGGCGGGGGAGTGAGGCGCCCGCACAGGGCTGCCACACGCTCGCTACTCTAATACATAATTAACTATTCATATAAATCTGCTTAATACTTGCTTATTAACTTAATGAGTTTTGATTTTTACTCTACAACCTAAACTGATTTGATAGACAATCGAAACAATTTAACTTTGACTATTTTAAATAAATTATTGTCATTCCATAAAACTATTTTAATTTTTTTACATACAAAAGTATTTTTAGAAGTATTACTTAAAAATTAAAAAAAATATTTAAGGCATCATCAGTATACTTACCGACCAAAATATTCATTTGTAACTTAATATGCAAACTAAGTATAGTATGTTTGTGGGCAACCCTGCAGGCAGTAGGTACACGCCGAGGCCGAATTTGAAAATGTAATTTAGTTGCGTTTTGTCCGCGCTAATTGGTTTGTTTCCAAGCTTAGTTACCGCGAGCGAACCGGCGCGGCGCTGCTCGTTCGTTCACTCGCCGCTACCATCATTCGTTCGCTCGTTCCGTTCGTTCGTCCATTTCATTCGATTCTCTATTAGGTTTCAAAATATATTTAGCGTACAGTCAGCTCTTGTTTTCTAATTTAATGCACAAATTTATTATATTTAGTCTGTCAATCTGCGAGGACATCGATATAGCGTATTGGCTGGCTGGCTGGCTGGCTGGCTGGCTGGCTGGCTGGCTGGCTGGCTAACGACTACTGACATTTCCAATTATTATAATTAATATTTTAACTGGATCATCAAATTTGATAATATTATTAATTAAACACAGAATAATGAAGAAACATTCCATTTTTCTGATTAATTGGAGACCAGATATAAATTATACTATTTCTATTGAAAATATATCAGATCTTTGCTTACTTAATCCACTATATTCCTAAGACGATAATCCAAGTAGATTAATTTGTTGCGTACGAGATTCACACATAGATTTGATTGGACTTCCTGTGTGATCATGTCAGGTCAATTTTTACGCTGCACCTGGACAAATCATCAACAGATGTGTCTATATATACTAAATGTGTGCGTATGTTCTTCAGGTGTGGTTCCAGAACCGGCGCGCGAAATGGCGCAAGACAGAGAAATGCTGGGGGCGGTCTACCATCATGGCGGAGTATGGACTGTATGGTGCCATGGTGCGTCACTCGCTGCCCCTGCCCGAGACCATCCTGAAGAGCGCCAAGGAGAACGATTCAGTCGCGCCCTGGCTACTCGGTGAGTTACGCTCTCTTACAATACCCCTATTACACTTTCCTGTCTCTCCTTTTTCGTAGTCTACGCCCATCTTTCCCTAGAAAAAAAAATCAGTACTATAATACCTATTCCTCTTCGTTTCCTGCCATTTTCTCCTGTTCTTTGTCTATCACTATACAGAGATCTTTTCCCTCTCCTAAAGCTTTGCAACGCATCAGCAACTTCGATATGTCTTTTGGGTAGCTGTGGTCAATTAACCTGGGAATACTCGGGAACCGCTTGCTCGTTTGTTATTTCTTGTCATCAGTTCATATTTTAAGTCTAGTCATTGATAAAAATTAATCGCATACGGTCAAATTTTAACAGTAATTCGAAGACATTTCCTAAATCTCAAAACGAACGCAAACCAAATTGAATCAGTGTCATGAATGAAAATACGAGTATAGTTTTAAATATTATTATTAAAACCACTGGATACTGCAAGTGAGCATGGCCTGTCGCTTATACAAATACGTCCGCCAACTGCCGCCAACATGATCGTGTCGCAATGGTTTACCAAATTGACAGCTTTTTAATCAAACATTAAAGATGTGGACTATTCTACTGTTTTAAAGCCGTAAACATTGTTTGGCAACGCTGCGCTTCAAAACTAATATATGACGCGAGTGGTCGTGTGCCAAATTATGGTTAAACCTTTGCGACACGATCTTCTTGTCAGAGCCTGGTCCCATGCGATGATGCTGCGTGTAGCAGTGGGTCGCATGTGGCAGGCGCGGCGGCGGCAGGTTTCTGACCTGATGGTTTTGTTCAAGAGTCGCGCGCGCCGGGGGCCGCCGGGCGCCCGTAGCGGCCCGCCCGCGCCCGCCCCCCGCACACACGCGGTGAGTGCAACACATACTGAC